ACAACCGCTCGGTGCCGGTGCCTCCCGCAGCAGGGCCGGGAGCCGAGGCGCCTTCCCCGGCCTGGGCAGCTTCCAGGAATTTTGGCCGCCAGCAATGACAGCGGGACGCCGTAGCATCGCCGCAAACACAGCTCTGTACGTCAGTAGTAACCGAGGAGTAACGCCTTTGTAACCCAGACAGCAGCACCGTTACACACATAGCGGGCTTTTTAGAAAAAGCGAGTCTCGATTCTTCACCCGTGCTTCTGCCCCACGGCCCATCCGTACCGATACACGCCCCCACTACGTCCACGGCAAGAAGTTGCAGTGCAGAATCAGTCCCAGCAGCCAGTAGGACAGGAAGAATCCAAGAATGCATCTGCTGAGGGGAGTAATTAACCTACAGTTCATCAGCAGCCTCACAACGGGGTTCTCGGAAGTCCCTTTCCCACAGGAACCGGGAGATTTACCGAGACGAGACTTCTCGGAGTGAGGTGCTGCCATTTGATTCTCAGTCCCTTCGCTCCAGAGCAAAGGTTCGTATTCCTGAAGGAGGTGAGCGGAGAACCAGTACAGGATGGGAGAGGAGGAGCCAAGGAACCGGGTCAGCACCTGAAGACGACAGACAGAGCAAAAAAAACCCGTAAATCGCAGGCCTCCGACGGTGACCAGCCCTGATCCCCAGGCACGGAAGGAGCCATCTGCCTCAGACGGCTGATAAAAGGGACTGAAATACAGCCCCGATTCGCGGTGCTAGGATTTATTACATTGAAACAAAACACCTCTCTGCTCAACCTGCTTTATTTATTAGGACATTTGTGTAAGCAGTCAAGTGGTCCCCAGGTTTTGGACAAGCACGGTAATTAATTGTCATCATCTTGCTGAAATCCTTGCCACTGTCCAGCTCAGGAGCTGGGCAAGGGCAGCAGCTTCAGGGGAGATTTGAATCTCACTCTTCAATTATTATTTTTTTTGCACTGGAACCCCCAACCTTTAGTGCCACTAGCTGTGTCCTGAAAAGACCTTCAAACACTTCCTAGAGACTGGTGACAGGCTCCAGATCCTTTCATTGCCATACATTAAGCTCAGCCCAACACGATAATGACCTGGTACCCTCGTCCTCCGACAGCCGACTAGCAGGGCTTGGCAAGCCTGGCCTTAAGCACACATCAAACGCCACCTAACACCAGCCAGACCCTTTGATCCCCGTCCCGGTGCCCTCATCACACTGAGCACCCAAGCTCTCTTTGGGAACTCTCCAGCAGAGCAGAGGAATTAAATTGCTTTGGGAACTCTCTGTGGAAGTATCTCCAAAAAGAAGAAAGGCAAAGCTTTTGGTTTGCATTGCCCTGTGCTGCCCTGCAGCCGGGACAGCTTCAGGCTGTGACTGTCACCTCGCTGCATTCCCCGTAAGAAACGACTCCTGTGTGTTGCTACAAACGTCCTACCTGCACGTGCATGCAGAAGAATCCAAACACCAGGAGGACCGTGGCATGGACCATGTACACGAAGACAGCGGGGCAGCAAAATCCAGCTCTTGGTTTACCCTCTTCACTCTTTCTTCTCTCTAGACCAAGAGTTAGGCAGTGCCGGGGGTCTGCAATGACGTAGGTCCAGGCAGCCCACGAGCCCAGAAGTGTGACAGGCAAAGCAAGCAAGAAATTTGGTATCTGCCTGAGCTCAAAATACCTTAGAAAGCCCACATTCCAGTAAGCGTCTTGAATGTGGGAATAGACCACAGGGAACCGGTGGGAGCACCAAGGGGGTTTAACCCCGTTCAGGGCCGCCAGACGATAGCCCTTGTCCAGAGCCAGCTGCAGCAGCGGCCTGGGAACGGTCTGCTCCGGGCCGGCGCCAGGACCACAGAACCTCACATAGGCATAATACTGAAATAAAGCAAAAGGTAGAAAAATCCCAGCACACATCAGAACCGCTGAAGATGCCGTGCTAAGGAGTTGCTTCCACAACGGAGGGAGCTTCCTTAGCGATCCCGAACCCACCTGGAGCTGGAGGGCAAAGGATTTACTGCAGGAGTAGAGAAAGAAGCCGGCATTAATAAGCCCGTTGGCACGCACCCCAGAAGCAAGGGAGAAGAGCATTCCACTGAGCCAGCTCTGCCCCTTCTCCAGTTGCCACATGGCACTGAAGGCCAGGAAGGCAAACATGCTCTCCGAGTAAGCAGCTGCCATGAACACGTTGGCAGGGCTGATAGAAAAGAGAACGGCAGCAAGGAAAGCTGCCCGGCGACACTGCAGCACGACGCAGCCCAGCTTATACAGGGCAGCGGCTGCCAGGGCAGAGGAGAGGGAATGCTCGGCCACGGCGCGCACGCTCAGGGGGTACAGCGGGAAGAAGGCGCAGTTGTGCTCGTACAGGTAACCACGCTCGGCGATGAAGAGGAAGTGCTCCGCGTCCCAGTGCGAGAGGCCTCCCAGCAGCCGCTCCAAGAGCAGGTCCCACAGGCCAGGCTCGGACAGGCGAGGGGGACAGAAGGCGTCTGCAGCGTGATCTGGGATCAGGAGGTTAAACAGAGCCTGGAAAAAGAAGAGAGGATTGAAGTCCATCAGACATCCTCTTGTACCCTACCGAAAGCACCAAGCAGGAGGAGGACTCCTGGGTTTCAACGGGGACAAGAGCACAGAAGCCAGGCTGAAGGGATTTGCAGCACGGTCGCCTATATGACTGTGAGAAGGTGCAAACGGAATCTTTTGAACTCAGGAAACCGCTGGAACATACCCAGCAAGAATCCCCACGGCCAGGGAAAGCTGCTGAGGCACATCTGACTGCGTACGCTCACACCGGGTACCTCTGCAGCATGGATAAGCCTCCTGTCCTCCTCAGTTGGGCATCATTGTCCCAGCTGATGCACAAGGGAGAGGAGCCAGAAACAGTGAAAAACATTTTCCCAGAGCAAACTGGTGCAGAAGACAGCAGCCGATTCCCAGGCCCCCTCTCTATTCTCTAAAGCACTGCATCGCTTCTGCAGCTCAGCGTGCACTAAGGGGTTCGCTTTCCGGAGATGAGCAGGCGGAATGCCCACACCTCTGCCTCCGGGAGCTCGTGGTGCTGACCACATTTTAAAAGGCGAGAGAAAAACCTGGAAGAGCTCATGAGATAGGAGGTATGCAACCTAATGCATTGTAATGCAATTCCAAATGAAAATACGTTTAAAAAAAAAAACAAAACCAAACCCCCTCAGATGGGAAATTGTGTAGCTTAGCTACGTGTAGAATCGGATGACTCCCCTGCAATAAATTCAGCGCTGGCAGAGAAAAGAGAAAAGGCCACACTGAACAAATTGGGACTAAAAGACAGACAAAGCTGCCGTTTTACCATGAAGCACACATCTGGTCTAAGCAGGCCTCTGGCATTTGTAACACGGGAGTCTTTCATCTCCGCTGATGGTTCCACTCAGCCCTACCCGGTGGTGACCGGGGCTGCCGCAGTCCGCCAGCTGGCCGCTGGCCTGCTGCTAAAGAGCTTTCTCAGGGCTGATTTAGTTTCAGGAGGGCCATGGCCACAGCTAGGCTCTTTGCCCGCTGTCTCGGTATGCACAGGTAGGATGAAGCGAGCAACCGAGCTCTCCCATGCTCAGGGAAGGGTGTCTCTGGAAACGAGACTTGGGAGGAACGTGCAGATTATGTTCCTCTTCTATTTCTGATCTTTCTCTCGTGCTGCCGAAGCGGCCTCTTGCAACAGCGGTGCGAAAGCACAGTAAGGTACAAGGAAATTTATGTAATTTTACTTAACAGCGCCCTGCCTCCCTGGATGCAGCTGGTTTGTGGGTTCTCCAAAGGAGAAGATGATTTCCCAGTCGAGCAGAACCAGCTCGCTCACGGCGCACAAGGCAGTACCGACGAGAAGCCGTGGAGCAGCAAACAGATGCCGCAGCAGCTCTGGTTCAGGACTGGGAGACTTGCCTGCAGCAGGAGCGTCAGGGCTCTGCAGCACACCGCAAACCACAGGACCTCTCGGAGGTGGGGGTCTCGCCTGCTCACCAGCTCCATTCTCAGCTGGAAAGTTGTCTCAGTAGGTCACTGACGCCAGGGAGATTCTCCCTCCGGTTTTGGAAACCTGAATTGGTAAACAGAGAGGACAGACATGGAAAGGTATTTCTGGCTTCAGCCATGTTTGTAAATCATGCGCCTTTATTTACTACCAGGCACTTCAAAGGACTGCGGATCTCTGTGAACAAGAAAGTCACTTATGGAAGAGATGGCGGATCTGGGAGACAACGCAGAAGGCCTCTTTGATATTGTTCCTATCAAAAAAAAAATAAAAAATTTCCATGACTTCTTCACCTCGGCCATGATGCAGAGTGAGAGAAGTTGTAACACACAGCTCCCAGCCCGTTTCTCGCCGGGCCAGTGTCAATCCCAGAAGCAGACGGGCACTTTGGCCTCCTCAGCAGAAACACCGGCGGCTCAAGCCAGAGCTCTGCCAAGCCTCTACGCACACATTCAAGTTCCAATGTGCTGAATGGGATTGAAACCTTTTTTTTTTTTTTTTTTTTGAATAGAGACAGAATTAAAAGGCGGACTCTGAGCGTAACATCCCTGCGAGCACTTTGCTGCCTGGGGCTCGCAGCCGGCCAGGCGCTGCCAGGCACGCTCTCTCCTCTCCCCTGCTCCCTGCCCTGCGTTTGCCCCTGGGAAGCTGAGAGCGGTTTTATTCAGGGCTGCTGCCGTGGCACCAACCCCACAAGCTCCGTCAGAGCAAGGCTCAGGGGCCTTCTCTTCCCCCCCACCCCTTCCCTTGATCAGAGACAGCATCTCCAGGACGCGACACTCGCACCACTCCACCCTCTCCACCTGTAAGTTTCCAATATTTTGGCAGGGGTCCTGATCTCCAGCATCAAGCAAATTGCGTTTGCCGAGGGGGCTCTCTCCCACCTCTTCCCGGCAAACCCCATCTGCAAGATGTAAAACGCTTTGTGGAGTCTCACCGCTTTCCTTTCTGTATAGTCTGGATTGATGTTCTGGGACCAGCCACGAGAACTGCTGGCCCGGAGCCACGGAAGGCCGGCAGTATCTGTTACGCCGCTTTTTAAGATAACACGTTTCTTCCCTCGGTTCCCCAGCCACCAACTGCTTTTCAGTTTGAGAAGCAGAGGACCCGCAGCCCTCGCTACGTTCCAATGACACCACATCCTGCACCGTTTCCCACCTGCCATCCTTCGGATCCAGCGCCTTACAACACACAGAGATCCCCAAACCACTCACCTACGGATCTAAAAACACACCGAGGGGGTTCTTATTCCCATTTTACCGACGGAGAAAAAAAACCTGGCAGGTTAAAAACTGCACGAGAGAGCAGTTGGTGAGGTCACCCCTCGAATCCTGTGTTCAGTTTTGGGCCCTTCACTACAAGAAAGACGTTGTGTTGCTGGGGCATGTCCAGAGGAGAGCAACGCAGCTGGGGAGGGGTCTGGAGCCCCAGGCTGCTGGGGAGCGGCTGGGGGA